AGATTCCAGCAGAACACCGAAGACCCTGCTGCAGAAACTGATGGGGGGTGGCTGTGCTCTCTTCCTGGACAGTCCGCCCTGGCTAGCACACACTCACCTCTGGATAGAACTCCAGTAAGGAGTTTCTTAATGACAGTAGAAAGTTTTAAAATTAACTTTAATTCGGTGGCCAACCTCAAGGCTTCTCCTCCAAGTAACATTCCATAGTTACCAGTTCCGCAAAGTAAAATGTAGACCAGTTTCTAATAATCTGCCTGCCACAAAAGGATAGTATCTAAAAAGCTTGTTTCCAGTTTGGATCTCTCCAGCTATCAGCATGGGGTGGGGGCCCTTAGTAGCTAGGTTTTTTTTGCGTGTGTGTCCTGGCTTGTGACAGGTATAAATTTCATTGTCTGAGGGTCTGAGGGGATTGCAAGTGTATGCAATGACATTCACAGTTAGAAAACCCTGTTTCTGGTTTAAGAGGCTTTTGTACCAGCAACCTACAAGTTTTGCCTAAGTATGCTTACTTCTGTGAGTTTGTGAGCAGGTGAGAAACCCTCAGGTATTTGCATGATCTTCCAGGTCTTTGTTCACCTCATCTATGGGAGTGCCCTCCACAGTTTGGAGATGAATTATCTCTGAATTTCCCCTCTCCACTGCAGGGCATTTTGTCAACTCTCTCAGTAGCCATCACCTCCCTTGCACTAGCCCAACATTTAGAGTGGCGTAGAAGGCTCTCTCCACAGGCAGGTTGTCGTCAGTTCAATTTTTGCTTTGCAGAGTTTGCTCCCAGAGGTCTTCATTTCTCTAGATTTAAACCTTAGAACAAGGGTCAAGTGGGGGCCAGGGAGGGTCTCCTTTTCCTACAACTTTCTTCAGGGTTCTGAATTGACATCTGTTGTTTCGTTATTTATTTATCTAGGTAGTGGTTTCCAGAAAGGTTAGGATCACTCTCCCATGTGGGAGGGACACCCAAGAGGGGACAATTTACATAACTGCGTGGTAGCGTCTTTGGATGAAGACTGGGATCATTTCTACTGGATTGTTTAACTTTCTGGACTTATCCTGGACTGGATAAACTAGGGTGTGTCACGTGCTACACATATGATAATGTGGTGTCCATGTGGCATTTGTTTAGTTAGGGGCAAACACATTGAAGCTCCCTGATCTGACCTTGGCTCCCCTGCTTGCCATTAGCCTGGATTGTGCCATCATTTGTCAAACTTCCAAGTGTTGCTGGTCTCAGATCTTGGCACAGGATGCCGGTCGTTCATGGGCCCGTGTCTTTTTGCTTTTAGGTAGCATGACCACCTTGGAGTTTTAGCATGGGCCCTTTTCCCTTCCCTGTCTGTGCAGTGTTAACTCTTATCACTGTTACCAAGATACAGCTGCAGTTTTCTTCAGTCACTACACAGCTCCTTGCCAGCGGGGTGGGCTGTGGGTGATCTTCCTGGAGTAGGTGGAGGTTTTTTGGAAATTGTTCTTATTTAAAATTTAGTTTGTTACAATTAGCTGCATTAGAAAGTAGATTTGGGGAGTAGACAGTGATTCCTTGCTAATGTTTCTCAATGTGTGTGATTTCATGGGATCCTGCCAGAGTCTGTCAAAATGGTCAAAGCCTTGTCTTTTTTCTTTCTGGTCACCTTGGTCATTTCATGCCCAGCTGCAAACCCTTTTATCTTTCTTCCTAACTATCGTAGGCCATGCCTTTTGGCCCTAGAATTACTGCTTTTACCATCAGCACTTTTGTCTGCTTCAGGGTTCTGTTCCTCTTTGCTCTTCGTGGTCCCGGCACCTACTTATTCATCCCTAATGCCCTTCTGTTTGTTCTTCCTTTTTCCAAATGCAGCACATCCTGGATACCCCGTTTCTTCACTCATGGAGACATTAGGAAATGTGTCATCTGCTATATTATCTCTGACGCCTAACTTGTAGTTTTAGATTAACTCATTGATTTATGTAGATTCAAGATTTCTGATTTTAAATATATAAATAAAAGATGAATAGAAGATATTGTGTATCTCTGGTGGCATAATTTTGTCTTGCTTTTTTTCATACCTGTCCCCTATGTGTGTGTTTGTGTGTGTGTGTTTGTGTGTATATGTGTGAGTGGTGTGCATTCTTCTTTGGCAACATGCCACAGCATAGGTGTGGAAATCAGAGGACAACCTCAGCCCCTTGTTTTTGATATCCTTGTTGTTTGAGGCAGTCTCTTGGTGTTTGCACTGCATACACAAGACTGGCTGACCCACAAGACTCCAGGCGTTCTCTTGTCTCTGCCAGCTATCCCACTACTGTCGCACTGGGTTACAGAAATGTAGTACCACATCTGGCTTTATTTGGTATGATGGCTATTCTTGGTTGTCAATGTGACCATATCTGGAATTAACTAAAACCTAAGCATCGAGGTCCACCTGTGAAATTTTTTTTTTTTGTAATTAAACCATTTTAAGTTGGAAGACCCACACTGAATCCGGATCTCTTGTGGTGGGAAGATCCACCTTTATCCTGGACCACACCTTCTGCTAACAGCCTATGTAAAGTACATGGAAAAAGGAAGTTCTTGTTCTTTGTCTGGTTGTTCTCACTCTCACTGGCAAGTTCATCCCATCACTGGCATTAGAGCCTAGTTTTTCATTATTCCAGTCTATACTGAAGACCTGCTAAGGTTTCCAGCCTATACTGAAGACCTGCTAAGGTTTCCAGCCTCATGGACTGAACAACTACTGGATTCCTGGTCTTCCCATTGGTACATTGCTGAACCTGTTGGATAACAATCTTAAGCTACTCTAATCTGTGTCTATATCTGCATCTGTCTGTTTATCTGTCCATCTGTTTGTCTATCTATCTATCTATCTATCTATCTATCTATCTATCTATCTATCTATCTATCTATCTAT